GTGCCCTACTCACTGAGCCACAGGTGCCACCCAGAAAAACAGTCTTTTCATCAAAAGATGCTAGGCAAAAGGAAGAGCTGGGGATGCGGTCTCAAAAGATCCTGGATAACTACGGGAGATTCTGGGCCCAGGGGCCACCTAGTCACAGAAGGAACAGCGGGGCTCGGAGGAGGCCGGCCCCACCTCCACCGAGGCTCCGCCCACATACCCCACCTCCTTGCAGGCCCCGCCTTCTGGACGCGCCTCCTGTTAGGCTCCGCCTCCAGGCCCGCCCCGCGGCGCATTGTGGGATCCGTCTGTCAGTCGGGTGGTGGAAGACAACGTGCTCTGTCATGGGGATCCAGCCGGTGAGACCCTTATTCCATATCCTTCACCTGAGGACCCCGCCCCATCTGGTTCTGGGTGCTGTGCTCCAGACCTGTGGCTCTCACCACTGACCCCGCCCCGCAGAGCTCTGGACCCACCCTGGTCCCGGCTCCGGACCCTGCTCAGGTTACCCCTCTGCCCTTGACATGCCTCCGCGCTGGAGTTAGGGATCGCCACCCCTGGGGAGGCTGGTCGGTCACCACCCACACCCCGGGCTCTTCCCCAAGCGTGGCGGTCACGCTGCCTCCTCTACCCACAGAGCTCAGCCCTGCTGGCCTCCCTAGGGGTGGGGCTGCTTACTCTGCTTGGCCTGGCTCTGGGCTCCTACCTGGTTCGGAGGTCCCGCCGGCCTCAGGTCACTCTTCTGGACCCCAGTGAAAAGTATCTGCTGCGACTGCTAGACAAGACGGTAAGTTGTGGACGAAGGGGCCAGGGAAAAGGAGGGGACTAGAATTTTCCTGGTATGAAGGGGACAGCATCCCTGGATGTTCTAAGGGACTTGTCAGCCAGCTTCACTTGGTGAAACACTGTGTCATCCATCCTCTAGACTGTGAGCCACAACACCAAGAGGTTCCGCTTTGCCCTGCCCACCACCCACCACATTCTGGGGCTGCCTGTGGGTAAGGAATGTGTGGAGTGGGCTTCCCTTCCCCGGTATGCAAAGAGGGTAACTCTCTTTCTGGAGTCTGTGAACACACTACTTCAATCTATTTCCTTTCCCACACTTGACTCTGGATCCTCCAGGCTGTGAAGTGCCTGTGGCCCCTCTAGGGTGTGGCTTCTGTGCCCCCCAGCCATCTTTAACACTCAACAGTCTTCCCTTTTTCTTGAAAGATTTGTTCTTAATTCCCCCTGAGCAAACACTAACCTTTTCCTATTGCCCTGGCCCTTGTTTGACTCACAACTTCCAAAGTCCTGACAGTAATTGATGTGAGTTTCTCCAATGGGGGGATTGTGAGAGATCTAACCAAAGGCTCAATGGGTGAGCCCTCCTGGCCTAGTAGCTCCTTGGAGCCACAGCAGGAAGCAAGACATCATATTCTTTCCAACATCTCTGAGTATTTTGAGAGCTGACAGGGATGCAGCACATTGACAAGCAGCCCTGATAGAGCTATCTGCATTGTCCCCAGGCAAACATATCTACCTTTCTGCCCGAATTGATGGCAGCCTGGTCATGAGGCCATACACTCCTGTCACCAGTGATGAGGATCGAGGGTACGTGGATCTTGTCATCAAGGTAAGGGGGTAAGAAAGAACCGCAGGGGCTGCTGACCCCACTCTTTCTGGGATTTATAGAAACTTCCAAGTTTTTGTTGATAGCAGGAGATCACATGTCTTTTGTGAATATAAGGAAAGTATTTGGAGTAGGAAAGATAGTGCATGTGTGATATTTGCCCTAGCCTCAGGTAGGTTCGGTCAACATGGGGTTCAGAAACTAGTAACATTCCCAATAAGATAGCTTTCTTTCTGTCTTATCAGATCTATCTGAAAGGTGTGCACCCCAAATTTCCTGAAGGAGGGAAGATGTCTCAGTACCTGGATAGCCTGAAGATTGGGGATGTGGTCGAGTTTCGGGGACCAAGTGGATTGCTCACTTACACTGGAAAAGGTAATAATCTGTTTTCATGAGCCTGTCTCCCACTTCTCCAGTTCCCATAGTCTTCTTGGCATAGTACAGCTGTGGGTGTATGTGCATGAAAAGGCCGTGGCCACCTTTCCATCTAAACATAACACTAACACTATACAAAAGCATATTTCTCAGCTACAGGGAACAATTCCTTTTCCCTATCCACATAAATTCACTAGCCATGACAGCTGTGGAGTTTACTAAAGCAAACATATGCCTCTCTTCCCCTCCCTCAAAGATTTTCCCCTCTAGCTGAGCTGTGGGGAGAGCCAAAGAGCTTTCCGCCCTTCCCATGGGAACAACTGGTGCATTAGCAAGCTCCCTAGAGCTGCTGTGTGCCACTTGGGAAAATAGAGTCACACCTGGCCCCGTGCCTGTCACCCTCATCAGGGAGTGACCCTTTGCCAAAGGTAGCTAATGTGCATTGTATGTCCCTGAACAGATAGCCCTGGCCCCATTGTCCTTCAAGTGTATTATTGTCAGAGCTGGCTCAACTCAAACCTCCACCCAAGTTCCAGGATCAGATTTCGTAGCAGCTGCTAAACTGGGCTTAGGCGTATTTTCAATTCTGCATTTGTTTTCTTTGTTCCCTACATTGACTTCATTCTTCTACTGCTCTCTTCACTTGACTTCTCAGGGCAGTTTAACATTCAGCCCAATAAGAAATCTCCACCTGAAGCCCGAGTGGCGAAGAAACTGGGAATGATTGCTGGTGGAACAGGTGCATTACCTTGAGAGACCATTCTCTCCTACCCATTGTTGATTGTTGCCATGCAAACTCCTAAGTGACCTTCAGAAGATTTGGTAATAATATCCAACCTGTTCTTCAGGGGATTCTCAGCAATGCCTAGAGCTCCCCAATATCAGAAAAACAAAATCATAAGTAGGTAGAAACCAAAAAAATTTTAAACTGATAGAATGAGAGAAATATTGAATATTGAGGACATCCAGAAGTGTAGATGCTGGAGAATATCTGGGAGGAGTTGAGAAAATTAGGATACTAAAAGAAATAGAAGTGGTGAATGAGTGGCATTAAGATAGAAGGGTCAGGCTCGG